TCTCACTCTAAACATTTCGACTTATTTTAATCACAGACATTGTAATTCTAAAAGGTGGACTCTTTAAGATATCCAGCAGAATGCTCGCTATCTAAACATATTCCTTATGACTATCAACAGAGCGAGCCTTGGAGTACCTAACGTCATAATCAGGGGCATTGTTGGGGGGACAAGAGCTACAGAGCAGGCCCCCTCCCAGGATCAGAACCCCTGCAGTTCCCCAGCCGATGTACAGAGATGCTCCCAGCTCTCTCTTCTGTGCAGCAATCAGGGTAGGGTTGTAGAAATCACGAATGACGGTGTTAGCGGTCCAGCAGACTGGAATAAGCACCAAGATACCGGCAATGATGAAGACAATTCCAGCAGCTACTGCCACTCTGCTCTTTTGCACTTCGTCTTCGACAAAATTTGTGCACTTGCCTCCAACCACCGCAAGCAGAATCCCAAAAACTCCAGCGATGATGGCGATGACAGTGAGTGCTCTGGCAGCCTGCAGGTCTTGAGCTAATTCTAGCATAGAATCATAGACCTTGCACTGCATCTGGCCTGTACTCTGGGTCACACAGCTCATCCACAGACCCTCCCAGATGACCTGAGAAGTGACGATGTTGGCACCAATGAAAGCGGTGACTCGCCATTGTGGGAGTCCACAGGTGATGATCGACCCAAGAAAGCCGATGACTCCCAAAAATAAACCAACAAGCTGTCCACAACCAGCAACCATGTTGATCCTGTCAAAGAAAAAAGATTGAGCGTCCTTGAGAGCTTTGTGTGTGAAACAAAAGTTCAGCAGGTAGTTGTTTCAGCTGATCACTCAGAGAAGAAGCTGACTGTGAGTTCCTTGCTCAGTGGTTAAAATTTTAAAGGAGGTGACAGAGGAGGTGTTTTTCTAGTGCTGTATGCAAGGTCAAACAGGTTTGTGAAGAAATGTCACCCAACCAGCTTTTTTCAACACTTGTAGAAAAGATAGCAGTTTCATGTGCATAACAAAGGCCAATATAATGGGAAAAAAACACCAAAACGAGTTACACAGAAATACAGACTGCCACCAATGTCATCAATTTTTTATGTTCTGTGAAACAATAAAATGAATATTTTGAACTGGCATATTTATGAGAACACTAGTCACTTGGGTGATACTAAATACCAAACAGGGATTTACCAAATGAACAATGCTAGAAAAATGACGCACATGACTTTCAGAGTGACCTCATTGTCAACCGATACCTGTAGCTCATAGGTTAATAGATGTCAATAGATGTAGGTGTTTCTACACTGAAACTGTCTGTTCTTGTGACTGAGTGAGATGAAAAATTGCATTTATCGAGCTCAGCTGTGTTTTAAAGAGTGCTTTAAAGTGTATCTATGAATCACACACACTTACAGCCGAATCCCTTAGGGTTGCCATACAAGGTCCTGACCTCCTTAGGTTGGAGGACCCAAAACACCCTCAAAAAACAAATGTCATACAGTACCAAATCTACATTTGTGGAAAGAAAATTAGAAGCTTTTCATTTCCCTTTATGGAATTGTATGAAAAATAGACTTGCTAATTAGTAAGGAAAAATAGATGGTTTGAATGCCATTACATTCTTTTCTTTTTTTTTTCTTAATACATTTATAATATAATATTTTGTCATGAAATCAATATCCTTAGTATCCTTATTTTCCTATTATATTGTTTTATGTACTTTAATAATGAAGGCTTGTGGAGCAAGGCCACTTTTGACTCACAAAGTGCTCACCCAGACTAAAAAACAGGAAGTTTTTAGTGCACAGGCATATTAATAGATAAAGACACAGAAAAGAGAAACTTTCCATATAAGCAATGTTTGAAACAGTGTGTGGCGTGTGTCACGTCTGAAGTACAGAAATAATACCATATAAGACAAATGTTGAGCTAAAAATGTTAGAGCTCTTGCAACTGGCGTTTGAGCTGTGCAGGGGTCTCTCTCTT